CAGGAATTGGCAACTTATCAGCAAATAAATTATCTCTTTATAGAAGTTATCCGAGAATTGTTAGTGTTTGGACCTGTAACACTGAAACTTGCTTCAGTCTTGAGGTTTTGAAAGCAGGGAACCCCGAATATTAGGTGAAATTTCTATCTTAAAAGCCTTGAACACATGGATCGCCAGCATTTACCACGCATAATAGCCGCCGACAACAAAATGATGAGCCACTCACCTTCACGGGTGTTTCTTCTAACGGTGTCGATGGACGGGGTGATTCACTATGGGCCAGTCCATCGACGTCAGTCTCGACAGAACGCCGACGGAATGCGGAAATATCGGTCTGACAACATATGGCTTCGTACATCACCTGTAAAGAGAAATTGCTTAGAATAGGCCAACACTGATTGGACTACACAAAGAAGCCTACCGCCTTCTTGGCATGCACCGTAGCTTTATGGTACTCCATTTCTTCACTGCGAGAATATCGGTGCTGGCATCCGTCTACGGTACAGATATGCATGGATTTTCTGCAAATAAAATGAGTAAACTGGAAACGATGGTTCGTTCCGAATCGCTTGCGACTCTTTAGAGTAAAAAAAACATAAACAATGTTTGATGCTACAATAGAAGTGCTATGTGATACATAGTGACACTTAGTATTCACAAACTGTTGTTTGGAAAAAACTAGTCGATGGACTGTGTCTTGCATTGAAGTTTCCAAAACGTTCTAAGCTAATTCCTGTATAATTCTAGGATTCCACGACTATGACCGAAACAAGAACAGATCAGTCTTGCCGCTGAGCACTAAAATCGTAAGTTAACGTGGACAATGTTACTTCGCGGAACAGACAAACCGTCCAGGAACTTCGATTAGTTTGTACGAATCCAGGTTCGAAACAGATCCGCTGGCCGAAGCCTCCACATCAAGATCATCGTCCTCATCAGCTAAAAAAGGTTATCAGAGTTGCTAAGTTATCGCACAAGAGATCTCGCATAACAATAAATTTATATAAGATAGAGCTATCGAAAAAAAGAAATTAACATACGTGGATCTATTGAGCTACCAGGTCGAGTAAGCGAGCAGGACAGCTTCCGCTTCGTTTCACAAGACGGAACTCTCTTCTTCGGATCTCGAGGTGTTCCTGGCTGCTGACTGCGAGATTTAGAAGGAGTACTAGCACCACTGCCAGTGGCCCTATCATTCGAGTCACCACATGCACTACCGTTGGAACTGTTCGACCCACTGCCAGCCACCGTTGTCGACCTGTTATCAATGTTCAGTAAGAGGAAAAAACCCCAAGAACCTCAGCCGAATGTAGTTATTTCAGCAAACTCTCCAAAATTAGTGTAGTAAACTCACGAATTACGCAAATCACACCTTTTCTTCATGTAAGGCAGATATGCGGGGGGATGCCCATCTGTTAGTATGCCGCTAAACTCCTGATCCTTCCATTTTGCCACAACATACAACTCGTTATCTTAAGTATTAATTTGCAAAAACAAAAAAACAGGTCCGTCAAGAAGTAGTACTCACTTTCCATTTTACACACAACCGTCATTTCAACAAGCCGCGTTGCCCCGACTTCTAGATCAAACAGAGGGCAATCCATATCGCTTTGCACCGCTTTAGAATAGACACACGTTCCGCGGTCTCGCATCTGAAATGCAATCACACTTCAAGATATGATTTCACAAAACCGATTCAGAGACGTGGCCGCAAAAACAGAAAGCTCGTAATTGTACCTGCTTATGCTTCTTCGACGATGTTTCTTCGGCTTCCGAGTCAGGGTAATTGTGCTCGTCAAGGGAGCTGTCCTTCCTCTTCCGTGATGATAGCGTATCAGTGCGTCCTTTCGACCTGGGAACAGCGTATTTTATCCTGCTCATGAGCAAAGTGGGTGAATTAAGAATTGCTCTCACATTCCGTTTGTTTTGTACCTCTTTTGACGCTTTCCGTTAACCGAGCTATCTCCCTGTAGGCCACTACATTCGTGTGAAGAACTAAAATGCAATGACATTTGATAAAATACTGAACAAAATCAATGCTCAGACTTACAATGAGCTACGAGGAGTGGTTGCTAGGGAATGATTATCGCTTTTCAGAGCAAACACGGATGAGCCAGTTTCTTGCTGAGGTCTTTTCCTGATAATAAAGAATATTTGAATCATACTAATACTCAACAAGAAACCCTAAACGGCGAAAAGATTAATAAACATAAAAAGGATTAAATAATGTTGAAAAATGCAATCATCGAAGCATTCCTAAAAGAGAAAATCACCTATGCTTTGGAGAGGACGTGTTGTTCGATGAAGTTTCATGTTCGCAATGTAACTTCACAAGATTGTTTGTAAATGCAAATGCTGTAAATCACATGTTTTATTTCACAAACTACGAAAATTGAACATGACAATGACTTACGCGATGGTTCCCGCCGCTGAGTTTTCGAAGGCGTGCTGCTATGGAAGTGCACCTCACTGCTAGAAGTCACTTGTGGTTGCCCAAACACTGGTACGGTGAGGGGTGTCGAAAGTTTATTTATAGAGGTGTTTTCTGTGTCTCCTTCAAAAAATACAACAAATAAAACAAAGCTTTAAAGTTACGCCACAATTCAATTTGACAAAAGAAAACGTCATCACTGATAAACCTTAAACATGGTCTAGAAAAAAAAATGAACAAAAGGCCTCTTCTCCCATTCAGCAAGCTTTACCAGTAATTCAGGACGAGCATTTTCCTCAATTCTCATGGAAAACTTACTGAACAGAAAGCAACAGAATAATACTTCCCGAAGTACCACCGCTTACGTGACTTAGTAAAAGGGAATAAAGATGACCTTGACAATTCATTATCCCTTATAATAACTGACCGTACGACGAAAAAGAGAAGCGTAATGAATTCACCTTGTGCTGACTTTATGTCCACAAGAGGGCTTGCAGGCAGTTCATGGTCGATAGATACGGAGCCGTCCTGTACATCGTCGATGAGTAGGCGACCTTCATCGTCCGACATTTTTTTAGGTCCACCCTAAGCATAACAAAATCAATGGTTAAAAAGTGTAGTAATTCAACTACACAGGAAGACGAACCGTTATAAAAAAGCAGATGAGAGAAGGACATGAATACAAGTAAATTGTGGAAAAGTTTAAGAGATCAAAAGTTAGCTAGTTGATCATGAAACCAGGCAATTCAATGATGACCACAAATATCGTGCAAACTTTTAAGAAGTCACCACAACACTGAATGAATG